AGGCCCTGCCTCCGGGAGCCCTCCCGCGCCGAGGGGCTGGGGGAACGCGGAGCTCCTTCATCGTGTACCGTGGTAGCGGCGAGGAGCTGACTTCAACAAGCTGGGCGGGTGAAGCCTCACCAGCTTCACGGTCACCCGCCCCGCCTCCCCCTGCCGTGCTTCCCGCTGCCTTTAATGGAGTTTATACACGTTTAGCCGTCTGTGAGATCCTTGCCCCTCTCGGTTTTTCGGACAACCTGCCCAAAAGTCACCGCAGAAGGCCGGACAGTCTCATCCGACTCGCTTTCTTGAGACTGGAACAGAAACAGCATCTCGTTAAAAACATTTTTTTTTTTTTTTTTTTTTTTTTAAAAAAGCAAAGGTAGGAGGTGTGCGGTTGTAAGGACTCTCTACCATTTGAACAAAACCTAGATTTCTGTAAGCTGCCTAAATATACTTAACTACAACTCAAAATGCCTGCACCAAGGCCTCGGTTTTCTTCACTTTTTCCAGTGAGATATTTTAAGAACTTCTTTGACGAACTCTTCTGCATTGATTTCTTACATAATATTGACTGTGGGCAGTTCAGTTCAAAAGACTATGCAGAAGTTGAATAGTTGCTTGAAATTTTAGTTGTCCATAAATCCACTCAAAATAATCTAAATCAATAATAGTGATAAAAAGAACAGAGAAAGTTATCACAAAGTAAATGATACCTTATCTATTAATGTAATAGGAATATCTGAAGGTTTATGATTCATCATTTAAAATGTATTAGTAATAATGAATAAAAAAGGCTAATATGTACTAGCTACTAAAAGCCCCATGTGCAGCTGTGCAAATGTAGGGGAAATACAATCCCTACTTGAAAATGTTATGCACTAAAGTAACGGACAAGCACAAGATCAGTAAAACATAATAGCTTCATGAACACTTTTGTCTACATGCATTTTTAATCTGTGCATATTAGGATGTGAATTAGAAGTGAAAAACGGAGCAAGTAGAGCAGAGATGGAAAAGTTTATTCACAGGTTTTCTCTCCTTAGTCGCACAATCTGCATTTTGTAGACTTTGTGAGGACTGGTGCAGCATAAGAGGTAAAACACGTTTAGATTTCATCAAGGCATTTTGTCCTTGCAATGGATGTGCACTTTTACTTTTTGCTCAGTGACCACTCCACAATAAACCAGGAAATGCTTTTGATTTACCAGTGCAGAAGCTGACTGCAAAATTGCCAGGATCACAAGTGTTTTACTCAACTGCACTCTAAACACTGTACGTGCGTAATGTTTCTGAAAACGTTCCTTCTTGCTGTAGTTCAAATATTAGCACTGCTATCCATCATTGTGCTAAGGACCTTCTCATCCGTAGGAAGGATTCTGCCAAAAGAACAAATGCTTCTGCTGATAAGAAAGGCTGCAGCTGTTGACAGGAGCATTGGAGGAGAGGATCAAGAGTTCAGTACACAGAGGCAGGTTAGCAGCACTGCAAATGTATGATGTAGGTTTGTAAATTGTCACAAGTTTCAGCAGGGTAATTAAATAGAAGATCCCAGATCCATAAACTAAACATTCCATAGCAGCCAAACAAGGCTTAAACAACTACAAAAAACAAATAGGGAAGTTTTGGAAAATTTAATTGGCTAAGTGTCCTGGGGTGTAAAGTGTTTTTCCTATTTAATCACTGAGTCTTTCTGGTTTAAGCAGCCCATGTAACAAATCCAGACATATTAGGTCTTCAGCAAGCTGACAGTTTTTGTATCTGACTGACATTTTCCCTTCTGAAGACAGAGGTCCAGTATCTAGTGCATCTTCAGCTGGCACAAAGCTAGAAAATCCTAGTGTTTGGTCACATGTAAAACAAAGCCGGCACGTCCTGCCAGGAAGGTGAGATCCAATATGCACAACCGCAAGCACGGGGAGCACACAGATGAGTGACCTGGTGCGGGCATGGGGCAAATTAGCACAGGAATGGAGCTGGAGAGTATCAGAATAGTTCAGAACCAGTGGACATGTTGCTATAAAATACTCCAAACTGAATTTACTTATGAAGGAACAATCTATCACTGTAATTTGCCAGTTACCTCCTTAAGACCATCAGGAACACCAAGAAATCAGGTAGGTAGTCCTCTCCTGTCTGAAGACGCATTTAACTACATCCTAACTTGATCCTATTTTCAAGAGGCTCTTGCTGTTGAAAATGCCTTAGGCAATCTTAGTGCTTTCCCACAATTAACTGTCAGAAGATCTCAGTAAGAGCAACTAAGTTTGTTCAATACAGTCTTATGTTAAGAGATCATGTGAAGGCATCCTCGTAACAATGAACTATCGTCATTATTTTAATGTGCTATGCTGAGAGAGTGTCAGGGATTGAAGAAGTTAACATTTGTTTCTATCTGTTCTTTAAGAAATCTGTCTTGTTAAGGAAGTAGTCTTTCTTCCTTCAGAGCTTCCTCCTATTATATGCAATAGCCCTTGTTTAGAAGGTGCTTGCGTTCTGCATTTACGTACAACTTGTTCAAGTTTGGGAGCAAGACCTGGTTGCAACAGCTTTCCCCTCCAAAAGTACCATTGCAGTATCTTCTGATACCATTTTCACCACGTTCACTAGATAACACAAATTTCTAAGAAATTCCCAACCTTACTATGAAACAAAAAGCAGTTGACAAAGCAAGCTGCTGTTTTTAGAAAGCAAGCTTGAAAAGAAGGAAAGCTAGCTTCCCTAGTTTTAAGCTATTTTAGGACACTAACTAGAAAAGACAGGTACTATCTCTTTCAACTCTGAGCTGTTCAGTTTCAGCCCTTACTACAAGTACTAAAACTGAACACTGCCTACAAATAAAACAATTTTTCACGAGACTTTGTAAACTACATCTTAGTCTCACTAGTTTGAGGTTCTCCCCTGAACGGATTATCCAATCGCCAATCGCTACTAACGCTACTTTTTGAGGCTGATAGACCAACTCGTGTAAACTTGCATAGAAATTTATAGTCAGAAGTGATTTAGTTTCACTTCAGGATATTTTCAGCTTGTTCATATATTGCAAAATGCATTCTTTAATAAGGGACAATATGGTGTCAGAAATTAATGTTCTAGCTATTTTCTCTATTATTTCATTCTGTTTTCTACATTCTATTTGATGTCTGTCTCCCTCCCTGGGAAGTGAAAAAGAAATAGCGGTGTACCTTTGTTGTGTCGTTTCTCAGAGCTTGCTGGTAACCAACCCCTCTACCCCTTAAGTTTCATGGGCCTCATTCAATTTCACTATGCTTGGTAGCACGCAGAGGATCAGGATGCACCTGCAAACTTGCAGCATGTGATACTTCCTTGAGTTGAAGGTTCCAAGTTGGCACCATTCACGGAGAATGTTTCATGTAACAATAGGCTGTTGTTGCTCTTTCCAGCTCAGTTTACGCACAGCTAGAGATTCACCAACATATAAATAAATGGTTCTCTCCAATAACCTTAAACTATTTGTATCTCTGAAGGGGGTGGGGGAAACTTCTAGAAATGAGTAAAGACTAAAGTGAAAGACATTAAGAGATATACCAATAAACCTTTTCAGTAAATGCAATTCACAGGTTTATACTTGTTTAGAAGTACTTAACCACAAATACCTGGCAATTAGACCATTACATGAATTTGTCATCATGAATGACCATTAAAGGAATCTGTTATCAAGTGATACACAGTACTTACAGCTATCATGCTGGCCCTTTGATTCAAGATTGTTATTTTTTAAAAGATAAAGTATACACCAGCATTTTTAAACTGAACAGCAGATATCTAAGAGATCTTTAAGACAGCAAAAAAATTCTGAGCCATGGAAGACCAGTAATAGCAAATGCTCCTTTAACCTTTCCTCCAGATAACCTTTTATCGCTTTCTTGATGCTTTTCTTAAGAAACATGCCTTTTTTTAAAAAGATTCAAACTACCCAATGAGTTTATTTGGAAATTAAATGCCAAAAATTAGGCATTTGCAATGTTACTTCTGATATGAGCCAATATGTTTTAGAAGTAAAAATTGTAGCTGATGTTTCAGGAGAAATGTCAGTTTTCCCACAATTATGTAACATTTGACCAGACAATTTGTGATTTGTTTGTTGTTCTCAATACAACCACTATGTTATGCTGACAGTCATACAAAATGTAGCAGAAACTTGCACTTTAACCCATGGTAATAATATCAAAGGTTTTGAACAGCTACAAATGCTGCATTTGCATTTTCAGTGCCATACCAACTTGAATTCAGTACCACCTAAACCCAAACCAATAGCTGATTAAAAAAAGAAAACATAAGTCAAATGATAAAGCTACATAGTTTAGTACATTAAAACATAAACCAAGGACAATGGTATTTGTATAAGGTTCCAAAAATATACAGATGGGGGGAAATCACTGTACACAACTCTGAGGTTGTTAAAAGTGACCAGAGAGACTGAACAGTGCAAGACATGCTTTTCCAGTTACAAGCTCAAAACAGAAGTGCAAAAGAAATTAAAGCTTTGTCTGAAGTGATTTACCTTTAGGGTAAGGAAAGCTTAGAATATTGTCATCAGTGCTACAGAGAAATTTCCATCCCATCCCACCCCCACCACGTACACACAAAATAGTTAAAAGTTTTTTCATAACACAGCATTTCATTCCAATGGTGTCCCCCTGAGCTCGGTTATGGTAGGGACAGCTTGTCTGATACTTACTAGATGTTGGCCTACAAACCAAGCGACGCACAGGCAGCTTCGCAGTTCTCCAGCTTTGGCTAACAATTCCCACAATTTACAGGCCGTGAAAGTGGCAGACAGCCTGGCTTCAAACTCTCCTGCAACTAGCTTCATGAGACCACCTTGTTGTGAGGAAGCAGTTGTGCCGAAAGCAGATGCTAAGTTATGGCTGAGGGACAAAGGAATTGCTTGGTGGGTCTCTGTGCTCTCTCCCAGAGTTAAGAACAATTTCAGGCAAGTGCTTTTAGCCGGCTGAGCTGTACATGCATCTACCCATGCAAATGCAGAATAGGGCTCCCACGACCTAGAACCAGGGTGTGCGCATGTGAAGACTGGATAAAGGCCCTTCCTTGTTAAGTTTACAAAAATATACAGCCAATACCGTAGCTTAAGAAGTCAGTTTTACTCATTACAGACAGATCCCCGAAAAGTATTAACTACTTTTCAGACATTCCAGACAAGGTCACTTGTAACAAAAAAGGTCAAGTTCTCTAAAACAAGATTTTAAAAGTGGATCTTTCCTTCAAGTGAACAGGACATCTGTTTTTACGCTTAACTTTTTAGTCAGTTAAGACTGAATTTATTTAAGATTTTATGTGAACATATGCATAAACACAAATAAGTTTACTTTAAACACATCTGCACAGAAGAAAGATTAACCCTTCAAAACATAACAGAGCAGGTCTGGTTAGTATGTAACTATTGCAAATCTTAAAGATTCTGTGCATTAGGCCCACCCATACAGAAAGCAGGGGAAAAGTCTCAATGAAAGAAAATTACCGTTCGAGTCTAAGTGGTGTTTTGAAGAGCCAGCAGCCTAAGCAACACCATGAAGCTAGTCACAGTATCCAAACAAGCAGACCTGCTTGGGTTACTAAAGCAGTGTATCCTCCTGAAGGCGTCATTTACTCCCAAGTTATTTTCTGTTTCGAAGGCGCTTAGATTTCCTAGGACAGTCTGTGGATTCAACCGCCTTCCTCCGTTTCCTAGGAGACTGTTCATTTGAGCCGGAACCTGAAGAATTTCCTACTGTACTCTCCACCACCTCTCGCAGCTTGCGTTCAAGCTCGGCCAATCGGGCATTCTGTTCACCTATGATTTGGGTTTGCTCTAGCAGTTTCTGGTCTTGATCTTGGAGTTGTTTCTGTTGCTCTTGCACTTTGAGGCGAAGCTCTGAGATTTCCCGCTTTAGTGCTGTCACGCCCGTGCCATTGGCTTTTACTTGCTGCTGGAGTTTGGTGACTTCCTGTCTTGAAGGGTTCTGCTTGGAGAAGAGCTGCATTGTTGTCAGTGCTGCAGAAGGTCCTGGAACTTCAGAGAAAACTGTGATTAATCCTCTAGAACTTTAGGACAAAGGTCCCCGTTTTCCTATTTTGCTTATCCCTACTCCCCCAACATGAATCTGAATACTGGTTGCAAGTTATGTGAACATGTAAACGGATTTACAGTCATTTCAGCGTCTAACAAGAGCATATAGTATCTCAGAGCACAACTAGTTTAATTTAAAATACTTAAGATTTTCAGTAGTCCGGAAAACAGCTCATCATTCATTTTCTGTATATAAGCCCCCCTCCTTTTGCTGTATCAAAAATTACGTAGAGGTATTATGTTGTCATCTAGACAGCGTCACAGATGTTAAGTCAAAAACCCGCAACATGTCTATCAATTACTTATTACAGAATAGTTATATTAAATAAATATATTTCAATACAGCAGAACAATTCTGTTGTCTTAGCTGCAGACAGCTAAAGTTCTAAAATTTTGTGGTTTGGGGCTTAACAAGGTATTTCAGTTTAACTTACTTTTTGGAAGACAGGAATTTACTTTCCATGCTTCTTTAGAATCACTCTTCCTAAGTACTAAAACCATACTGGAATTGGAATTTGAGCTTGGGACTGTTGATTTTAATAAAGTTCCTGCAAATCAAGGAGACTAACAGCTACTGTATAATTTCTTTCACTTTTTCTATCATAAAAGATATCTATCACTTTTTCTATCATTTTACTGTTCTAGCAATGCTGTGCAAGACCCAACTTCTGAGTGCTACAGAGACAGAACAGTCTGGAAGAGCCTAGAACAGTCATCCTCCTCCTCCTCTTTTTTTCCCTTTAAGATGCCAGCATAGCTACAGTTAGGTGACACCAAAGGGTTGCCATCAGACAGGTTATGCTCTTCGCTCAACACAAGATAGGCATTTTTATGCCACGTAAAGCCTTGGTCTTGAAAAGCCAACTGACATCAGTTACGGTTTTGGGCAATACTTCCTCAACTGAAAGACTCAGTGGAATTGAGGTAAAATTAACAGGATATAATTAAGAGGTGATATACACACTTATGGCTAAAAGGATGGACAGGACATTCCAGAAACAACAAGCAGCTCCTACAGTTAGGTCTATCATTTTTGCTTAAGATGTAATTATTCATATTTTTATTAAGTTATCCTTTCAGAGAGTTAATTTCACAGTTCCTAAGAAGTGTGAAGATGTTCAGCACAGGGAAAACACTGCAGTTCTACTAAACTTTTGCTTCTGGCCATTGTATGAGGTGGTTACCTTTTGGTTCACAAAATTCTGGCAAGTCTGACAAAGCGTACAGAAGACCAGTTTAATTGTTTATTTACAGTCTTATTTTAATTGCCTTTTCACTATTACTTGTAAGTATTCTGCTTGTTAGTATACATTGGTGCCCCAGGAAAGCAAAAAAGCACATCCAAGCATGTTCTAGCTCTCCATACACTGCAACAGCTTAGGCTAATTCATTTGCTGATCGTCCTAAAAATAAAAGGCATCGCGTTGTCATTTCACGTGCCAAATTTCAACCAAGTGCAATGATAAAGTCTCATTCATTGGTGGCACAAAAGCATTTGTTTAGTGAATACACACTATGCATAATTCTAACATACATCCAAGTGACTGTTCTTTTGGTAGTACAAAGGCTCCTTAAATTTCAAAGCAAATGAATTTCAGTTAGCATTCTTAAGAAACAAGTATCATCAATACTTATGTAATAAAGCTCGCATTTAAGGGAGGGAGCTTTAAAAAGATACAGCGCTGTGAATTTTTACAGAAAAACTAAATAAAACTTAACTATACATTGGAATTAATACCTGGGGCAGTTCCTATCAGACGTCCCGATACATCTGACCCAGGCATCTTTCTTTTCAGTATTGGAACAATCTTCTCATCAAAATATTCCATAGCCATGGAGGAAATGTCCCTTAGTTCTTGAAGAACTTCATGAGCTCTCTGAGGAGCTCTTGTAGAGTTTACATACCTTAGCACACGATAAATTTCATCTATTACCTAAAACATTTAAGAAGAATTAGGATTTTCTGATAAAGGCAAGATTATTTCAGATCATTCTAGAAGTTCTGGCATATTCCGGGGCTTTTACTACATACCTATTGCATACCACTGTGTGCTTTGGATCTAGATCAGCTTTTTGAAATGAAGTGCTGTTCGTGATATATCAGAATATATTCACTTAGTTTATCACAATAACTCTCTTCGAAGTCAGGACATAATGCTTTTTGTGTGCAATTTTGGTTTACTACATCTGTACTTGACTTCTAAGTTATTTAATCTATACTCAGCAAAGCATAATAATTTCTTTTTGGAGAACCTGAAGCAAGATACTCTAAGCCACAATGCAGAGCAGTCACTCCCCCAGCCAGTTATGAAACACAAGAATGGAGTAGCAAGAATTATCATTATGTCAGTCTGAGGAGCTGGAAATATTTACTTGAGTCCACCCGAAGTATTACATACACCCGAAGTATTACAAATTCAGATTAAGTCAAAACCACATTAATTTATAAATCATCAATCCACTACTGATGGAGGACATAGGTACCCCCTCAACAGGTTTGACAAGCTGTTTGGTTAGGAGAGACACAGAGAGATGAAAGGTGTCTCAGTAATCTATGAATTATAGTCAAGGTCAAGACAGGAGTGCTGGTCTCTTTGTACTGGAACTACCGACACAGGCATTTTGCACGGGATTAAAAATGGCTGAAGACCCTCCTGAAGAACACAGGTCTTAAGGACTTAGAATCATATACGACAATACAGTTGTGCCTTGTGTTTTAATAAAAGAAGCTTAGCTGAAAAGTTGCAAAAGCTAGACAAGACTAAAGTGTCTCATCATAAACAAGCTTACAAGAGACTTCTCTAATTTTACCCACATTACATCCTGTTAACAATGACATCCTCAAAGCATTCTCCTGCCATCCTCAATATAAAATCTTGCAGCAGGGCTCTGCTATCACCAGGAACCCTCGCACAGTATGCTGAACTTCCAATCAGGAGTCCCACATTCTAACAGCAATTCGCTTCCTGACAATTCTGTAGCAGCTTCATACAAACGAAATTACCTGAGGGAAGCAGGGCAGGTGGGGGGAAACCACAGGCTGTAAGTGAACACTAAGCCTTTGGTCTGCTTGACCAAAACAGGATTTTCTACTGAACTGGTAACTGTGCTAAGAGAGCAGCAGCACTAGCAAGCTCATACGCTAAGTATATAATTAAAAAACCTTTTTTAGCTGTTATATCAGAATACAAACAAGGTCCTCATGACTCAGTGCCCACAAAGAAAATGGCTGGCAAGCTCACTTGCCCAACTCCTGCACACCTCAGGTACAGACTGAGTACTGCCTTTCTATCTACTCTTCAAAAAAGTAAGGCAACATTTCTTTTAAGTATTCCATTTACTATGTGAGTATCAAGGATTTAGGCTTATTTGACTTTACATTATATTACATTTTAAAAAATACATGGTATATATAAAAATACAATATAAAGTCAAATGAGCAGAAATATATTAAACCAGAATGATTTAATTTAAATTAATTATCAAGTCAACGAGAGCACCCAGAAATCAGGTTACCTCTTTAAGATAATACACATGCCGACAGCCTGTCCTCCTGTGCTAAATGTAAAAATGCCTGCCATGCTTCACTTGAGTCCAACAGCCAACTTCTCCATTCATCCCAGCGCAATTCAGTTATCTGCCCATGAAAAGTTAATCTCGACATATCCAAACCTCACATGGAAAGATCAATGAATAGAGCATTAGGCTAATGTTCACAGATCTTGTTTCAACCTTGAGCTGTACCAGTCTTCCTCAGATGGTGATTTTGTCAATTCCCCTGTGCACTTCTGATTTCACAGCTTATAAAACAGTGGTATCTCCGATGTACATCTCACTTGCATAATTTGTATTTTATGTTGGGGTAGTATTCTGAAAACACTAGAATTATTCAGTAGTATTAATATTTAACACACTTTACCTACATTTAAAACTAATTCCACCTACTGTACAAAAATACTCCATCCACTGTAATACTGAACAGTGTTTCCACATACCAAGTATCTTAATTCAATTAATTTGAAGTACTCAGACCCTTAAGACGGGTGCCTAAAATCTTCCTGATTGACTGAGGGCTTAATGCTATATGTAGTCTAGATTACCACCTATTGTGATGAGACCCCACCTGCAGTACTGTGTTCAGCTCTGAGGCCCCCAGCACAAGAAAGAGATGGAGCTGCTCAAGCGGGTCCAGGGGAGGGCCACAAAGATGATCAGGGGGCTGTGAGGGTGGTGAGGCACTGGCCCAGGTGTTCAAGGCCAGGCTGGACGGGGCTTGGAGCAACCTGGTCTGGTGGAAACTATCCCAGCCCATGGCAGGGAGGCTGGACTAGGTGGTCTCTAAGGTCCCTTCCAACCCTGTGATTCTGTGACCTGGCCTCCAGCTGTTTTGTACAACTAAAGTTCAGAATTAAACCCGACATGTCATGTGTTTCTTGTAAAAAACTGCATAGGATGTATATGCCACAAGTCAAATGTTAGAATTAAGAGAGAATCTCAGGGAAAATGGAAATCAAGTTTAACATAATTAATATTTATATATAGTCTGGTTCATTCATTTCAGACTGCCTGTAACAGCAGAGCACTGGCTTGTGCATTTGTTTGCAAGTATCTGAAACACCATTTCAGTATATATATACATATTACATAAATTTGTCCCATCTATCCCAGGTTAAGTTACACAATCATATTTTTTAAACAAAGATATACATTCACATACTATAGTCTGCGTTTTACCTTTCCAGGAATGAAGCAACAGAGATTGGAATCCACATACTTCATGAAAGTCATATTTAACAGAGAGAGTCTCGTTTCTACAGCAGCAAGGATGTCTGCATGACGAGCTAATGAATGGTTTCTTCTTTCTGACTCCCGTCTGGAAGACAGACCATTAAGTGACACTGATTTAACAATGGGTCAACAAAATGAAACTGTAAAATCGCTCAAGTTAATTTCACCCTTAAAACCCTCTGAGGTTTGAAAATGTAACCACTAACATTAGTTCTGTCTTGTCTTTCCAGAAAAGAACTGATACAGATTGAGAACGAGATAGTAATAGCATACTAGACTTTCTTAGACAAATTTTGTTCTCTAAATAATTACTACATCTTATGCAATCCATAAACTCTCTATATAATTTAGAACTCATTAAAAACAAGCTTTCTGTACTAACTAGCAGTAGACATTGAGTCAGTGTGAATACTTTTATCCCCCCCATATTCCTACAGTTAGTACTTCAATGCAATTGACATAAATTTAATACATTATTAGTGCTGGCTACAAAGTTTAGGTTGAGACATAAGCTCTTTTGACAAAGGATCTCTACAGTAAGTAGCATTTAGTTTCTTCACTCTGACTGGGAAATCTGACAAGACACAGCAGCACCTGCACTTACTGACTGGAAAGAGCAGAAAAGACATTGCTTCAGTGAGAAACTAGCTCCCAGTAATGCTCACATGTCAAACCCCCCTCCCTTTCCCCTGTTTAATCCTTGGCACTGAAAAACCTTGCTTTTTTTTTTAAGCAGAGTCGTAGATAAACCATCGGTGAAGGCAGTCGGTCTTGAAAAGGAATGGCATTTATTCATTCCTAGGAGTCCTTGCTTGATTTGCCAGAAGAGCTGAGTAATACAGGACCCACTCTTCTTTTCTCTGTTTAAAATACCAGAGACACTTTCCAATATTCCCATTCGTAGTATACAACAACTTACATTCATCCACACCATTATTCTCTAATTAGATCTTAGGTTCAAGGTGCTTTTGGAAAAAAATGAAATAAAACAAACACTACTCAAGATACATATAAGTGGAATTAGCCAGCAAGAAATTCCTTTTCAGTATTCTGCTGAAAAGAATCTAGCACATTTAAATTTAACTACAGTTTTAACTGGTACATACCTTGGAAGTTGAGCTTTAACTTGCTTTTGACACAAGTTGTGGTATCTTTCCACTTTCAGAAATCCCTGATTTAACATTCGCTGGCAAACCAAGTCCATTCGCTTACAAACCTGTATTTAAGTAAAAAGAAAAACTTAAGGCTCAATTAAGGCCACAAGTCACTTTTACTATTACCTTATCCATACTTGCTGGGTACTAAAAGATTCTCTTACCAGTTTTTGCTCCATTTCAAGAAGCAGAAACTGCAGTTGAGCTTAGGGCATCACCATCTCTAATGATGATCATGATATTCCAAAAAGGAGCAGCTATGTTCCACACAGTTCACCAATTAATCTCCTGATACTGCCTAACAAGAGATAGCAGGCTGAGTGCCACCCATATATAAGCAGATACAATTTCCTTTGATTTTAATGGAAGTTGCAAATGCCTGTGCCTGGCTTTTAACTTGGCCTCCAGAGTGATTCTGGTAGATCAAGTTAATATTTTGTAGTCTCAGAAAAGAAGCCTTCAAAACCAAGAAGTCATGATGGTTTCCTTTCAGCATTTTAGGCTTCTGTTTTTGAAGACAGCCACAATTAAATTTAAAAACTTATGCAATACAGTGCACATGAAACAAGATCCCTTTTCGTATTAAAAAAAAAAAAAAAGTCTTTTCTTCTCTAACAAATTCCTTTATCTGCTATGTTGGATATCAACAGCGTCCATTTTTTCCCCAGATTTAGGCAGAAAGGACATTAACAGCTGCAGAAGATACAACAAACTGCTGAATTTAAACCTTCACAAAGTAACCAGTCACAAGACAAAGCCAACTCGTACAAAAGTTTAAAGCAATTGCAATTCAGTTCTGAAGATGCAAGAGCTTAGTGAACCAATTGCCCTTTGAAATTGTTTGGGCTTTTTTTTTCTACTAAAGTGCACAACTCCTACTGTGACCCCAATTTCCAAGGGATTAGCTTTGGTAATTCTCACTTCTCCCAGAAAAGCCTGCAATTATTTTCTGTTTATATGGAAGGCACCACCTAAAGAAGTTCTATTTTCTCTGGGTTTTCCTCTAACCACAGCTAGTTTAAGTTCTGTGAGTAAATCAACCATTTTCAAACCAATCTGTATTAACAGACCATTAAGCAATTGCTGTCGATGTGTCTGTGCTCCTTTGTGTTAGATCTTCCCTGTTAACAGCCAAAGGAGAAGGATCAGACAGGCAACCACAGAGGTATAGCCTCAGGACACTCTCCCCGACATTCACCAAATCAGCTAAAACAACTCCAGTGTATGGCCCTTCAACTACAGGAAGGAGACAATGGTCACATTTCTTCTAAGATATGCACTGCATTAGGGACGCCTAGATCTGATACTCTTTTTGAGCACAAGACTTTACAGCTTACCTGTAGTTCTAATGCCACCAAACCCCCGAACTAGGAACTAGTACCTGCACAAGGGCTGTGGTACCTATGCAATTATTCAGCATGAAAGAACAACAATCCTAGACACGTTACTAGCTCCAAATTCAGAGGAAGCACAGGAAAAAGTGGTTTTAGCCATGTGTACGCTGACACCTGGTGGCAGCAAGGCCCTTTCAGAGAGCTGAAGAGCTCCCACATCCAAGACAGTTAAGTCACAGTCGGTAACACGAACTGCACTAGATTTTTAAACACTGGATTTTTAAAATCTTACTCATTTGCTTACGCTACGCAGCATGAAGAATTATTTGCTCCAATTTCTGGACATTACCCATGTTTGCACCAATAATCAGTCTAGAACCCAAACACCAAACAGGTAACAGGTACCACCAGAAACCAAGTGTTTACCTGCAACTTATTTTACCAACCATTTCTGAATTCTCAGCTGGTTCCTGATATCACCATTTAAACCATATGGCACCCGTATTTATGGGAATACACCTCTTTTAGACCACACAGTCAGCAGTCACATGCAAAATAGCATTATTACACTTTTAAGTGCCCATATTAGTCCAAGACAGTTTGATACTTGGTATTCAATAGACCACAAGAAAGTAAAAAATTAAATTTGCTCATATTTGTATTTGCAAATTTTTGTGACTATTTTCTTATTCTAGCCATAAAGCTGAAAGAGCCCAAGCTTCCTCAAATGCCAAGTCCAACCAGACACTGCATTCAAATTTCAGCCTTAGTAAGTTATTCCAAGTCCATGTGAAAAGCTAAATGAGAAGGTCGTTGCTTCTTAGCATGCTGAACTACAGGCATTAACAGCTTCTATGAAAGAACTCATTTTCCACTTCATTTGTAAACAAACTAAACTGACACAATCTGCTAGTCCGCTACTACCAGCTTCCCTTTCCTCAAGCATGTCTTATTTCTTCCAAGCTTCGCCAACAGATACCAGTATCAAAACAGAGATAAAAATATCCTAAAGTCTTTAGATTCAATACATGCTCTTTCTCTTAGAGGCTACACAGACACCATGTTTCATAATGCCTTTCTAGGGTAAAGTATAAGTGACAAAATGTTGGTGACTTCAGCAAGAAGCTTTAAAATAGAAATGCCTGCAAATACAGATTTACTGACACTGTGGGAAGATTAAAGACATCTTGTCCAAAGCCTATCAGTCCTTATTTGTGCTGTGCAGAAAATAAGCACAAGTTTGCTGCAGAACCTAAGACACTTCTAACGTGTCAGAATCCAAGATAACCTTCTCCTCAGTGTTCATGGAAGGAGGCTGTGGACTGTTTGTTTTTAATCACACTTGCTGTAGTAACAGCCTGAATGCAAGTGCATTTCCAAGTTCAGAAATGTGAATGAAAATAAACTGGAATATAAGAATTTCATTATAATCCCACTTGGGTAAAAATTCCAGAGCTTCTGTAAGTCATTAAAAAATCAAGGTAAAAGAAGTCTTCAAAAGCTGGAAGCTAGCTAGCTAGCTTCCATGTCAGCATGCATACTAGGCTGCAGCTTGTCCAGAACATTACAGCTTGTCCAGAACATTACAGGGATCAGTGTAAGGATCTTTTGGGTTTTCTGTGTTTCTCTTACGATGACCTATCAGAGGAAGCAGATGAAGTAAATACTCAAAGGGGCTGAAAGCAAAATGCTGCTGCTTTTCCTCTCATTCACTTTATCTGAACAAAAGTTTGAGAACTCAAGATTTGCACCGAGGCATAATTTCAGACAAGACTGCATTCTGAATACCTATTGTTTAGTCTCCATTACTTTAGATCTCCTTCACTGCTCAACCAGTACGTGCTTCATTTTGCTTTTAAATGCAGTAACACCAGGAATAGCAGAAAGCATTAGGCTCAGGAAAGCAAGTGCTTCTTTGCACAATTAGGGCCCGTGGTCTTGCCTCGCTTGATGGCAATCATCTTAAGCAGGAAATGTTCTTTACCTCCTCCTTTGGTGTCAGAAAAAGACTTATGGATCTTAAGCCTTAGATTATCCTCCTCATTGTGCTCTATATAAACAATACAGGTTCCTATCTCTATTTTAATCTGAAAACTTACTGATGTTCTATGCCCTTCCACCCAACCAACTCCTTAGTCTGTCTTCTCATACACACTCTAGATCCAACAGCAGTTCAACTCAAAGATTTTTTTTTTTTTTTGGATCAGTGAGCTACAGTGATCCAGAAAAAGAAAGAGATTAGGACATCCATTTCTTTCAATGCTGGGATCCAGAGAATGCACCAAAGTAATCAGTTTAGGGAATCCACATTTTGTGACTACACATGTACGATCCAACTTCATTTAGGCTGACTGATGCCCTGGATCACATCTTCCTACCTTCCTCAAGATGCTTTATCCCATCCCAAAAACCCCATTCTAAGGGGTCAATGAGGCTGCTTTGGGGCATATTTTTAATATGCATGAGATCTAAGCAATTTAATCCCTGTCATTCAACTAATGTGGTCCCGCAATGTATCTTTAGCAGAGTACTACTCATGGTAAGATACACCCATTTAGCTTTGATAAGCAGCTCAGGTCAGTTCCTACAGAGAAAAACTCACTGTTTGTGCAAAACAGATCTCAGAGCACGAATACACAAGTGTCTCCCAAGGCTACTTGTAGCTTTTAAAAATCTGAAAGTGTTGAAATTTTATTATGCATTTATGCCTAGGCATTGTTATTTTTAAGGGGGACCCTAATTATCTGTCAACAGCATCTGGAGTCATGCAGAACATCCAGTCTCTTCCTCTCTTTGTTGAATTGCCAAAAGAACACCTTTAGTTCTGAATAGCTACCTGAAAGATCTAGCTGATCAAGTCTATGTGGTTATGAGCTACACTTTTGACTAGGTCAAACCAGAAGGGCTTCAATTCTTTACATCACTGCTGGTTAACAATGACAAGTGTACCCTCCTTCTCAGAAGAATGCTCATAGTGCCATCTGACATGCTTAAGGGAACAGTAAGGAATTTGATGGAGTTTATTGGCTGGCACTGACTCAAAAATTAAAGATAGGGGAAGAACAACTGAATAAGTTATTTCATTTTACATCTGGTATTGTTCCATGGGTGTGTCAAAGTTGATATTCATCCAGCCTGGTTTTGCATATTTCTGAAACTTCTGAAAGGGGCAGTCGTCTTCTGGAAAAATGAACTTGCAGGTGCCACACAGGAGAGCACAAAAGCATTACATTTTACTTCTTAAGTAGTACTGACAGTTAAACAGCTGGTTTAGTCCTTTATACCACCATCTTTCCTATTGTCAACTTCACTGCTGACACAAACATTAACTTAGCCCCACAGAAAGAAAAAACCTTCTACTGACTAGCGATAGCTCCCACAGGGATGACCATTTATAAAATGCAACAGGAAAGTTGCAGCAAAGGGCTGTGTCTAGCGTTGCAATACAGACCGTGCAACACTAAGCATACCCAAACAGTATATGTATTTCTATTCCCTCTGGTCAAATGGCAAGTACTCAAAAGCAGAGGCTGCAATGCACAAAGGCAGCACGATATCTTTTTCACAGATCCACTACCTACTCTCACGGAAGAAGCAAAAGTCTTTAGCAGACTGACAGCACGCTAGAAATATTTAGGTACTGGTGTACTTGGTGCAGTATGAACAAGAACAGATTTTCTGCTTGAAGAGCTTTCAGTTTAAAGTTACAGCCCTGACATAACACTTCAGATTGCTGATCCAGGACACATGCAGTCTAGTTTTCTGTAGAAATATGCTTGTAATATTATCCAGTTTAGGCTAACAGAGTTCTTAAAAATAGAAACAGTACAGTACACGCAAGTTTACTGACCATTACACAAGCAATGCATTAATTCCTTCACTATTATTCCGTTTACAACCTCATAAGAAATTTGGTAAGATAGCAGCTTATCATATTATGTCACAGTTTACATCAGGCTCCGTGTGCAGGCAGTTAAAGATTGATACACTGATCTCCTCACTGACAGCTGCGCTTTTATTGGCATTATAAAGTTTAGAGGTAGAGGTAATATCTTTTATTAGATCTACTACTATGACTGGAAGAAGCAGGCAGCCTTTCAGACAAACAAGGGCTTTCTTATGTCTTCTTTTTTTGCCCCACGTTTATTTCTAGATAGGGTAGGGTCCTTGCAGCAGAGGGCTTATCTCCTACGCTTGTAGGTTTAAGCTCTATAAGTAAAAACAAATACACACATGAGACACAATAGACTAGTCCCCCAAGAAAATCTGCCCTAGGAGAAATAAGCCTCCAGCAGCCCTGTAATTTCTCACAGAGGACGAACGGAATGAAAGACCTTTAGGAACGCGCGTAGGGAGGCACACACCTACACGCCCGTACTCGAGGCTCGGGGGCCGTTGGGAAGAAGAGAGAAAGCCCCCTCCCA